CCCCTCTTCTCAGCCCCTGCCCCGCGGCCCCCGCAGCGAGGGCGCAGCAAAGCGGAGCCGGCGTGGGGCAGTTGCAGGGGGTGAAAAAGATGCCTTGTGCTTGAGGAACTGACTCACTCTCTCCTGCGCAGAAAACGGGGCCCGGCTCAGCGCATTGCACTTAAAGGGGTTTAAGCCTCACCCACAGCCCTCACTCAAGGCCAGGAGGGTAGCGCGGGGTTGTTTGTTAAAGGGTTTGTAGGCACTCCTGGCTTGGGCAGGGACCTTCCTCCCACCCCTGCTGCTATAAAAAGCTCACAGGGCTGTGGCCGAGACTCACAGTGGTTCCCGTTCCTGCCCGGGCAGAGCTCCTCAGCTCCGGCCTCAGCCAGGACAGGGGTGGAGGCGGCTGCACGGGGCGCGGGTACCGGCACCCGCACGGCTCCGCTCCCAAACGGCATCAAGCCCCGGGGGATGAACAAAGAGCTTCTTCCCAGGCTGTTGCAAAACCTGCTCCGCTGAACCGATGTAAAGATAAGAAAATCAGGTCACTAGTGAGGTGTGTAGTGGGGAGATAAAGCAGCTGTGGAGTCTTCCCCAAGGTCCCTAGGGAAGAAACGTGCTGGTTCCCTGCACGACACGCCGCATCCCAGGCAGAGGGGCTGGGACACACTCGGCTGTATCCTGTGACATACCCAGTGCTGCTGAGACAACCTCCATGGGAAAGTCCGTATCCTACCTGAAAAGGCCAGCAGGGCACTGGCACACCCCCTCCCCCCAAAACCCCAAGTGTTTATTTGTATAATACCCCCCAAATATTACCAGTTTAATATCATAACACTGTGGCAAAGAGGTACTCTAGAAGAAAGATTTTTACTTAAAAATACCTAAAAGCCACTGTTGTCTGGAGTGTGGTGCCCTGTGTCACCTGAAGCACAGGACTGCCACCAAGAGCCCCCCAGGGGACACCACCTGTGAACACAGACAAGCCATTCTCTGCCCACAGCTGCTCGCTGTGGATCATGATCTGGAGGAATTTGCCTCTCCCTGACCTGTCGGAGCACACGTCACAGCTGCAGCTCCCACACGAGCACGGCCGTGGGACGAGCACCTCCCGGCCTTCCCTGCGGGGCAGCCTCAGTCCACACAGTCCTGACCCCAAACATCTCCTTAAGCAATGTGCACATCTTAAAAATAAAATCCTTTATTGATAATATGAATGTTTAACATGTTTAATGCCATCAGCTATAAAAATGATTAAAGACTTCAGCTTGGTACATTTGGCTTTACAAATTTACAAGTGTTAATGAATTAATACTAGTGTCTATGTTTTGCACTTCATTATACTCCATTAGCCAGTGACAAACTCTGCAACAATGTCTGCTTAACACAGATGTGGGTTATAGAAGAAATATTTAGTTGCTTCCACACAGAAACTACATCAACAGTTAAATACTAACTCTAAATGTCTTACTGAATTAGCTGGATCTGTTTTAGTATCTTGTGCTTAGTTTCTCTCAGAAGATTGGCTACTAGCAAAAATACATTCCTCTGCACACCCCCTTCCCATGTTATGCTTCAGAAGAAACAGTACTCAGTGCATTTCCTAATAGACTTCATCATAGTATGTCTCTCTCTCTAGAGCTATTACAAAGAAAGGGGATAATACCATTTAGATTAATGTAAAAGCAAAGAAACACGTTAAAGCAGTGTATACAAAAGCCTCACTTTTGAATTGGAACTGATAACATGGGCCAAAAAATCCATCTGCCCATCTGCTCTGACCATTACTCTGATCAAGAGGAAAAAATCTGCTGTGGATACTTACAAAAGTAGTAAATGTGCTTCCAAAAGTCACTGCCATTGATCCCTCTGCTCAGCCCACGGGGTCAGGAGCTGCAGCACAGAACAGCAGAGTTGGGAAGGCTGCTCAAAGCTCTGTGGAAGGGCCTCGTTCTAACACAAGCACCTGCCGGGCTGTGCTGGGGGCAGTGGCCACAGCAGCCAGGGGCCACAGCACAGTGCCAGGTCCTGCCCACAGGCAGAACCTTTCAGACCATGTACAGCAGCACATCCTCCTGGCTGCCACAGGGACCTGTCCCCCAGCAGAGGGGATGTACGTGTCCAATTAAATACTGAAAAACGACAGAGGGGAGAGCGTCCCCGGCAGCAGGAGGCTCTGAACGCAGCGCTGCTGCAGAGGGGAAAGCTGAATGCAGACTGACACAAAGCAGCAAGTCCAGTTTCCAAATTTAGGATCAGCTCACAGAGAGCAGTGAGATAACAAACCCAGCCACGCTCCCAGCCTCTGCCCCACTCCTCTCGTGGCAGTGGCTCCAGAACACACAGCTCCCTGCAGCCAGGACCAACGTTCCTGCACAGAATCAGGTGCTTCTCCCAGCTCGGGCCCAAAGAATTTTTCACACGCATGATTCAACTCAAACTTTGGCAATTCCTCACTCAGTGGTATTTTTTTTAAATGTTAATCAACTCCCACATTTTCTCTGTATCTGGAGGAGCACCAGGAATAGATGAAGATTTCCCAATGCACTGTGTATTTAGTATGTATGTGTGAAACCCCTTACACACATGTACAGCTACACGACAGCAATGATGTGGTTCCATATTTGCAGCCAAGGAAAGCTGTCAAGATGTCACAGCTAACTCGTTGATTAAAATCCAGGTCAGCTGGACACAACTGACAGAGATGAGGAACAAAATTATTGCTTTTGCTTATAGCAAAAGATCCCATGTTGCAAAAACCTTTATTTATATGGACTAGTAATTTTTTTCAAGTAATAGTGAGATCTTTGTCAAGTAATAGCAAGATTCTTTTCTCAGAAGTTCTACACACAACAGTAGAAGAGCTTGAAAATTTGAGGTGACACACCAGAAGCCACAGTTTAGCCATTTAAAGCACATGGGTATCTCTGCAGAGTGAGTTACATGAAAGCAAAAATTACTACATGGGCAATGAATACTGAAAGAAAAGTAACCTGGGGTGTGTTACAGCTAATTTTTACCCCAAGCAGCTTAGGGGTGCTCCCTCCCATGGGCAGGAGCTCTGTCCTCCCAGACAGAGGGTGGCTGGCTGCGTCTACCTGGCGGTCACTGGACAGAATCTGTGGCACACTTGCTAACTCATTTTAGCAAATGGAGAGAATTAAAAAGAAAACCAGTGTTGGTTTCAGCATTCAGGACTCACGGAAGGATTTGCTCTGCGGGTAGGTGGTCCCCCTGCTCACCTCGTTCAGAGAATCACATTCATATTGCAGGCTTAGTTCAGGCACTTTTTATACAATGTTCATCTGGAGTAAAAAGTCTGCAAAAGTTATTTCTGCATAATTTAAAAGTAGCATTTCAGTCCCATTAGAGTTTGATAGTTAGGTCCCACCATGTGATTATGGTTCTTGTTATCTCTAATGATTTGACTGCTGCCATGAGACATTTTTGAGGCTACTGTATAGCTGTAGTTAAGGTTTCTTCATAAACAAAAATATTTTCCTACCTATTAAAAAGGAAAAAAATATACTAAATGCTTTATACAGACAGAATCTGCTACTATGGAAATAAATAACATGGAGTGGAAAAACAGTGTCTTAGCTCTAGGATGCTAAGCCGTGGAATGTCACAGTCACATTTTCTGGAGACTAGCTGCTGGTTGGCAGGAGGATCTCCAGGTCTTTACCGTTTGACACTACAGCAGTGTTAGAGCAGCTACTTGCCACGTCCATGGGGGCACCCAGAGAGGATCCCTGGGCAGAGGTTTTGGGGAGCGGAGTAGAAGCAGCAGGTGACTGAGCGAGGCCGGGTTTCTTTGGAGGAATGGGTGGAGGGTTCCCTCTTTCTGCTCTAGGAATGGTTGGTGACTTAATTCCAGGAGACAATGGGCTTAGTGGACTGGAAACCTTGCCAGGGCTTGGAGAATGACCAGACTCGCCCTTGGGGCTCACAGCATTTGCCAGGTTTCGATAGTCCGTGCCAAAAGGAGAGCTGTTAGGGGAGACAGGCTTAATAGGTCCCTGCTGGCTGGTAAATCTGGAGAGGACCTGAGTGACCGTGTTGCGGGCCAGCTGCTTGGCAGCAGAGTTATCTGCCAGAGTAGGAGACAAATCCCGTGAGGGTGGGCTCTGCGGGCCACCGGCCTGGTGGTCCTGCTCAGCTTGGGCCTGAAACTTGTGCCGAGCCGCATGGAAGCGCTGGTTGATGCCCACCTGGTAGGAGGACTGGTAACCAGGGCTGCTCGCCGAAGCTCCCACCAAGCGTTTGGTCAGAACTGGTGAGGAGCAGGGAGAAGGTGTCAGAGAGGAGGCAGCTGTGCTGCTGGGAGACAGGGAGACCCCGCTAGAAGGGAGCTGGGACATCAGATGCACCGGTGACTCTGTTCTTACTGGAGAACTTCCGTTCTCAGTTGTGGTTTCTGAGGCAGCACCAGCAGATCTCTCCTTTTGGAGCTGGCCCTCAGCTGCGCTCGCCTGCAGGTCACCGCCCGCCTGCGCCTCGCCGCAGTGCCCGTTGGACTTCACATGGGCATGAGCTGCTGGAGCAGGGCTGGGGAACACGGGGGGGGCAGCCTTGCTCACACTGCCAGGATTTGCTCGGTCTGCCTGCAGACACTCTGTCTGGCAAGACACAGACTTCACTGTAGGACTGTCAGTTGCAACACCTCTGGACATCACCGAGGGGCTTGGCTGCAAAGGCTCGGAAGGACCGCGCTCCTGGCAAGAAGCCTCCAGCTCTTTCAGGGCTTTCTTCAGACATTCCACCTCTTCTTTGAGTGCTTTTGTTCGGTTTTCTTCTCTGTTCAGCTTGGCTTTCAGCTGTTCTCTTTCAATGTCAAACTCCGAGAGCTGCTTTTCTACTTGTGCTTCCATCTGTAAACCCCGCTTCCTCTTGGACGCCAGCTCCTCTTCCAGTTTACTCACCTTACTCTTCTCTTTTTCCAGTTTCAAGCTCAATTCTGCTGTCTTCTGCCCCTCTTCAGCTGCTTTGGCAGTGGCTTTCTTACACTCCACTACAAGCATGGAAGACAGTTGCTTGTGGCGTGCCCTCTCCTCCTCCAACTGGCTTGACAGCCTCTTCTGTTCTTTTTCAAACTTTTTCACCTGGGATTTTTCAAACTCCAGCTGGAAAGTAAGAGTAAAAAAAAAAAAAAAAAGACTAAGGGAACCACAAAACCTCCTGAAAGTAAATGAAGTATAATGCCCCAAAAGGGAATGGGGTTAAATTCACGTATCTTGGAGAAATTCCCTGGTAAATGATGGCAATAGCTAAGTTCTTGCCCTTGCTGTCTGCAAAAGTCTTGCACGACTCAGGCTGCATGTATTAAGAATTATTACTTACTAGTAGTTTTATCATGTATGAAATTCAATTGACCTTTAGTGAGATATACACCCAGTCTGCCATGTGCTGATGGAACAAGCCATCAGCAGCACAGCTCCTTCTGCCTCATTTGCCACTTTGTCAGTTTGCCTTTGAAAGGCATTTAGACTTTAAAATGCTGATGTGTTATGTGTGCTTAATAAAGTCCACGGCGCCTGAGTAACAGAAAACAGTAGCTTAAGTATTATTGTATATGAATAACCCCCCCCAGGACAGCTTTCATCACTTCTTCTGAATTTTGAGTACCAGAGAGCCCTATCATTTGTAAGGGCAGCTCTGCTCTTGACAGCTTCTCAGATTTCAGGCTGAAATAGGACTTAAAAGCATTTAATTGCCTACTAACAAGCAACAGAGCTTTCATCCCTGCTCAGCTACCAAAACACCCTGAAAAAATTAAGGTTGTTTTTCATATCAAACTGATAGAAGCTGGGAGTGTCCTACAGAGGAGGGAGGTTCCTACTACTCTTTCAAGATGAAGGTGCAATTAGATCTCTGCTGAGTTCACCACCCAGCAGCCCGGGGTGTCTGTGGCTGGGGTAACGCCCAGCTCCCAAAGCTACCTGCTGGGTGAGCCGCTCCCGCTCCTTCTCCAGCATGTAGGTGACATCGTCCCCCTCGGCCGTGTCCTGGGCGTGCCGCTGCCTCTCCTCCTCCAGGTCCAGAATCACCTGCCAGACAAACACGGTGCCTTTGATGCCCTGGCACACTTACAAGCAGGCAGGGATCACACCTTTGCACACTGTCCAAAGCCAAATGTCACGGGAGAGCAGCCCCTGCAGCCTCGGACATCTGAATTCAACTCAAAAGTCACAGAAAAGCAGATTTTTGGACAAGTTATGATACTATGTTATTATTTGGTATGACTGCATCAGTTTGTGAAGAAAGGTAGGGAAACCTCACGCTGGATGCATCTTCATCTTATCACCAAAACCCTAAATTGCTTGCTTTTCCTCCAGACTGCAGGAGAGCCGTGAGAAGTTTGTGTTATCCACCCGTGGTTGTAGGGTGCCCTCCTCAGTGTCCTGGCAGGACCAGGAACATCAGCCCCAGCAGGAGCAGAGCACTGCCCCAGAGATGGGGCACGAGCAGCTACCACTGCATGGTCCTCACTATGCTCTCAGTGGTGATTTGCAAACAGGCTTCTCCCCAGTTCCTTACAGGGGATTTGAGGACTGCAGTGCAAAGTTTATTTTAAAGAACATTAATTTGTTCTTCCACTTAAGAACAAGATGAGCTCTTGAAATGAAACTGCTTGCCATAAGGACCCAGTGAAGGGGCTCCTTCAGCTTTAACGCTGAATTACATGAATAATTGAAATTCTATTAACTCAACAAGAAAGCCAGAATACAAACTTCAAGAGACTCTGCCATATCTCACCACTGTGACTCTAGGCTCCCCAACACATGCTCACTAAGAATTTAGCAACTCCTCAATCTTCCTGAAACCTAAGCTTCCAAACAATGCTTAAATATCTTTAAGTACACATGGAATCTTTTTACAGAAGGAGACAGGAACAATAGAATGAGAAGGGAAAAAAAAACCCCTGAATTTAATAGTGTGAATTAACTAGACAGCTGAAAAGTGAAGGACTCAGCCTTGCTGTTACTTCCACTGACTTAGAGGACAAACCAAAAGCTTACGATACCTCCAGCTGCCCATCCATTTAAGGCATTTAAGTGTTTTTGTTGAAGTTAAATTGTTGTCAAAATGCAACTATTAATTTCTGCACATCTTATTTGAAGCAAAACCCACCTTCCTGTGCCTGCTTTCTGCAGCAGCTAGCTGGGATAACATTCTTTCTTGCATATTCTTGCAATGTTTCATCACCACTTTCAAAATAGACAAGGGATTGGAGCATACTGGTTGCTTTTCACCATGGTTTCCTTCTTTTAGAGTTTCAAAATCTCTCTGCAAAGCCATTAATGGATCACTAATGTTGTACTTCCCATAGCGTTCTTCAATGAACGTGTCTCTGTGTTGGGCCTGCAATACAAAAACAAATTTGCATTTCAATATATTTAAAATAGAAAGGTAAAGAAGAAAGTCATTGGTGTTAATATTCCTCTTCTCCAGTTTTCCACTTAGAGATAAAGATAACTTAACAGTCTGATTCATAAGCTGGCACCTGCTGTAAGAATAAGAGTATTTGGACAGGAAAAACCCTAAGTGTGTCATGTTAAAGGTCCCTGGTTAACAGGCAAGAGAGAGAAAGGAATTCCTAAGACAAACCAGTTGAGAGACATACCTGCTGCACACCCACGCCACTTGTGTGACCTCCAAAGCCCAGCTGGACCTGCCACTTCTGCCCAGGCCAATAAGAAGGGGACAAACACCACATGCTCCACATCTTACTGTAATGTCAGACTCTGATCACATAAGTTAAGGCTACGAAAAGTTAGGTGTACAGTGAGGCCAATTATCCTTCTACCATCAGAAGAGATTTTTTAACTGTTGACATTTAAGGTGTCAGCTAGGCTCCAAGCTAATAAAAACACTCATTAATACATTTAAAATGGGCAAAAGTTGATAGTCCCCCACGAGTAAAGCAAATAAAATCTGGACAGATCAAATACCTGCGAGCGAGCCCAGGTCTCACAGGCTGACTGAGCACTGCCCAGCTGGGGGGATGCCCCCATGCCCCAGACTGCTCCTAGAGCCACCCACTCCCCAGCTGGGACACTCCACTCTTGGAAAAAAAAACCTGCAAAACCCACTCGCACTTGCAAGCTGAACAGGAGCAAACACTGACTATCCACAGGCAGGCTGAGACCAGCCCGTGCTCCATTAACATCCCATCCAGCCCACAGACATCCTCGTGCCACAGGCACCTGTGCCCAGGGCCCACATTCCACAGCAGTGTGAAAGGGAGGAAGGTAAATATCACTTCTTGCTCCATTAATCATTTACTGCTTGCTGTTTTGGTGGGAGGGCAGTTGTGTGGTTGTCTTGACTGTGTCACCGTCAAAGAATTTCATGTTGAGCAATTAAAGAGTTTTATTCTCGTAACAGCCTATAAATCTGTAAATTGTTACTAAAATCCTTGATGTTCTCATCCAGACTAAACAAAGTTTAGTTTCTCATGAAGCAAGATAGGAGTGATTAGGTTTCTTTTGGTGATGTGTAAGAATTTAGGAGATACTGTACAAGGCATTACATGGACAGGGTTTAGAATCAGCCACTCCAGCTGGAAATCTGTTTGCTAGGATACCAGTGGCCTCATCCTACTGAATGACTGCTGTGAAGTTCTAAAAATAAAAGAGCATTTCATAAGCACACAGATATTAAAATATTATCTACTTGTTTACCACCATGACAAGGAACCACATGAAAACAGACATCCATGCAACCAAAGATGTAAGAGGGAAAACAGACCTAGATTCAAAAGAGCCCTCAGAGCTGACCCCTCCTGGCTCCAGGAAATTTAATTATCAGTTACAAGGGGCATGGTCACGGGCTAAATATTGTGCATCTGTGGAGACCTGTGCTGGTGTTTCCCCCAGCACGCAGCACCGAGGGCACGGCCCCGTGCAGGGCAGAGCTGGGGCACCCTGCCCAGGAAGAACTCCTTCAGAGCCCAGCTCAGCCTGGCTCCTCTGGATTCACTGTAGCCATGGCAACCAGGCCCTACCAGACAATTCACACTTTTGCTTTTCTAGAGCACAGAAATGACTGTGCACTGTTCTGCACGGGCATGTTCTCAGTGAGGCCACACAGCCACGGCCTTTCCTCTGCCCGTCACCTCTCCCTGGAATGCAACTGCCTGGTACCTTTAACCACACTCCTCCCCCCCAGGGTGCCACCACCTTTAGAGCAGAGCATGCGTGGCCCGCAGAGGGGGGTCCTGACCCAGCTGCACTCCTGCTGCCAGCACACACACAGGGTGTTCCTGCCCAGGAACGCTGCCTGTGGCTCTGCCCCCCCAGCCGGGCACCCGCAGGAACTGAACCTCCCCAAAGCCAACACAGGAGCTTTTCAGGGCTGGCGAAGGCTGCCAGCCCCAGCCCCACAAAGCCCCAGCTCTGCTGACGCTGTGAATGGGCACCGAGCTGTCGCAGGCTGGGACACAAGCTCCTGCTCTGAGCAGAGTGAGGCTGTGCCAGCCCCAGAACCTGCCACCAGACAACGGCCACCCAGCGCCGGCAAACGGCCACCGCGTCTGATGGGGAACGTCCTGCGGGGGGAAGGACCACGTCTGGCTCAGTCAGAGGCCAGCATTAACTGGAGCAGCTGTTTTCTGATGCCCCAGTAAACTGTACAGCAAATGCACACCCCTCCTGCTGCAGGAGCTGCAGGGTGCTCCAGACACCGCCCCACGCTGGGGGCAGGCCCTGAAACAGAAGCACCAAGGGCTGTAGCCGAGCTCTGTGGGTCAGAGGACGGATGGACAGGCAATAAAGCTTTGCTTTGCTCACACAGCTGATGAGATTTGCTGGTCCTGCCTATATTCTAAAATGCAACCATGTCATTAGCACCAAAAAACATAAATCAGTCTCTGCTCTCAAAGGGAGAGGCGTATGCATTACCTTGACAAGAGGCATAAAACAACTGAAACACAACATTGTTTTCATATCTCCTCCATGACCAAACCCAACTAGGAACATTTCTCCTACAATACTAGTTTGTTTACTGCAAGGGTTGCAATCCAACTCCAAGCACCAAGGAACAGCTCACAAACACCCCTCCCTCTTTATCAGCAATATCCACCAGGAACGGTGGACCCCTTTGATCAGACCTAAAGATATTGTTCTAACTGTACAGAAAAAAAAAAAGAGGAAGGAAAAGATCAGCCCTGGAAATGGGAGGGTGGCCCTGGATAATGAACTGCCCCTTGTTTAATGAATCACAGGAAAAACCACAGGCTCTTTTTTTTTTTAGTGGCAGGAATCTTCACTTATTCTGAAGAATTTACAAAAATGACTCAACCAAACCTTGCTTTAAGTGTGTAAGGAATTTCTAAGTGATTCAGGCATTAAAAAATCTGTAAATACAAATTGGGCTATGTGTCCAGCTGGCCTAACTGCTTTGACAGATGAGCTGCTCTTCCTCTGAACTTGGCCCACGCTGGTGCTGGTCACTCCGAGAAGCCCCGTGAAGGGGCACCAGGGCTTTAGCAGTGTAGGCAAGCGTGGGGACATCAGAAAGGTTTACTTCTGGCAAGTTCTTAATAATAAAAGCTTATTAAGGTCACACCCACTACTTACAACCTCTAATTTTTTTCAGTACTGAAGGTGTGACAAAAGCCATGTTGTTCTTTGCTCTGCTCCTCGCAGCACTGGGCTCTGCACTCGGCTGGGTTTATTTCCTGTCTGGGAAAGAACAAGAAGTTCTTCCTTGCTACTATGAGCAATTAAGTATTTTCCTGAACTTGCATGACAAACAGATGAGACTATCATAACATTAATAGCATTCTAAAGTCCAGCTATTCTTCTTCAGTAGCCAGCAGAGCATAAACATTTAATTAAAGTTGTCTAGACGAGGAAAAGTCTTAAACAAGGCATCCCACACTGACCACATCTCCTTCAGAAAAGCAAACCCGGTGCCTTGGCAGCTGGGCCACCAGGCACCTGGAAACACAAAGGTAGATTTTTCAGGGTGCTGCTGGTGACACCTCTGTGCCATGGGTCCCTCTGTCACCAGAATAATCGTAACAGCTCTTCTAAAATTAATCAACACAGGTTATTTGTACAGGTACTGAACTGGCACATACACTGGTGACTTCTCCACAGCCTGTGCTCCTCACAGAGGCAACTCTTAGTTCAGCTTCCACTGTTGCTGCAGGTCTCGTACCAACACCTCCAGCAGTTTTGATTTTTGTCCTGTCTGAACTGGAATTCAGTCTTAGATACAGTTTTTGTTCAACTTTCAAAACAAGCAACTTAATGAGGAAGGAGAAAATTTCTATTAGTGATCTCAAAGCAGAAAAGACAACTTGGATCTCGGATCCCAGTATCAGCCTATTAAAACATAAATCCATGGGAAATCAAGCTTTAATAATATGGAAATAAGTTTACAAAAAGCATTCTTGGCTTCAGAATAGAAAATTTAACCGGGAAAACTTGAGATGACATTCCAACAACATCAACTGTGCTTTGAAAGAAGATGCAATATTCTGCACTTAGAAGATCTTCTAATTTAGTAGCTCCACCTGTATCCTCTCAACATGCAGACTTATGAATTTCCTAGCAAAACATTCAAATCCCAAAGGCAACTAAATGGCCTGTGTGGCAATTTTGAGACTATCAAATTGCTGTCCCCCAACAGGAAAAAAAGATAACACTCAAGCTTGGGCTGCTCTTAGAAAAAGGAAGCATGGTAACTACTCTTAAAAATAAATCTCCTGACGACAGCAGGCGGAGGCCCGGGCAGAGGGAGCTCTGTGCTCCAGCCAGGCAACTGGCCACTGCTAGCCCCTGGAAAGGGATAATTCCCATTTTATGGAGCAGAAGCATCTGACACAACTGAAGAGATTTGTCCTGTGCAGGCAGGCAAAGCAAAGGCTTCACTTTGCTGGGGAAAAGCTACTGTTTCCTCTTGGGATTTCTAGACTGGTTTGGGATGAATGTTTACTGCAACCTATTTGTGTAATTTATTTTTTTTTTTAATAAAAGATTTCCTCTTACTGAAACCTTGTTTATGTCACAGCATTGTCTCTGTCTTGCTTTACTAGAACATCAAACAGGGAATTTCCAAGACTTGTTTCAAGTGGTTTTTTGGACACAAAGTGGTGTATTGCTCTTGCCTGTAATTTTAGAGTTTAGGTTTTAACCCTTGGCACAACACAAACACAATTAACTGCAGCTACTGCATATGCAGCTCTCCAGTCATAATTTGCACAGAAGTTCCTCCTTTACATTGCAGAGAGTTGTATAATCTTTAAATAGCTTCTTACTGCCTTGGACTTCCTTATTAGCTTCCCTCCCCAGAGACAGATATTGGGAATAAAGAGAAGCTGAGGTCACAGCAATCACTGACAAAAGGAAGGGAAATGGGGGTGGGGATCACTTGCTTTGCACAGAAATAAATGTCAAAATGCTGGAGTGGGATTGTGAGTCTTACTTCAGCTCCAGCTCTGAAGCAAAGCCTCGCAGAGAGCCACACAGCAGAAACTGAATTGCTCAGATACACTATCTGTCTTAATTGCCATCATTATATCAAGTGAACAAACCAGCTAAACAAGAGCTACACAGATTTGCCCACATAAGACCTGTTATCAGCTTTGAAAAACATCAGGAATTCTCTTAGGGAATGTCAAGCAGCACAAAACTTCAAATTCTTTCCCTGGGAACTTTTGTTCTGTAGTGCAGATGGTACAAATCCCAGCATGGGCCTGGCTGTGCACAGCTCCCAGCACTCTTGGGGCAGTGGCCTGGACCAGGCTCATGAACTGCACTCCAGCCACCAGCAGAACAGGGAGCCTGACGACACCCGGGCGGCTGGAGTCCAGAGCTGGAGCCATTCCCACACCTCTCTGCTCCTTGTCCAGCACCTACCGGGGTACTGGGAAGGTGCAGAGCTGCTCCAAGCAAGAAACAAACAAAACCATCCTGATTCTAAAAACTCTTCCCCAAACTTGCAAGAAAGGCTGTGAGAGAAGCCTGCATTCCAGCAGAACAGCACCCATGGGAGCACTGTGAGATCCGAGATGCTTCACAAGTGATGCAAAAGCCCATTTTGCCCCATCTGGGAAAGATTTACTAGCATCTGCTGTCAGCTTTTAGATTACTGAACCTTTTTATTTCAACAAGAGGTAGACTTCGTTTTTGAAACTGCACTGTAAACTTAATTTCTAAACCCACTGACAGATGAACACTTAATTCTGCAGTGCATTAATACTGCTTTATAGAGTGAATCACTGAATTCAGAAGCAGAGCAATGAATACCAGCTCCCAGTCATTAGCACAAAATAGATAGCTTCTATTCCACTGTAAACTGCCTAAGGCCTTATTAACATAAAAGAATAAGCCAGAAAGCTGTTTCCTGTTTTCTAAAAGTAAACAGCACTTCATTTCTAACGTATGGAAAGTTCTTGTTCAAAGAAGGGAGGCAGGAACAAAGTGCTCTACCATGGTGAGAGGCTCACTGAAATCCAGGATTGTTTCCAGTCACGGTGTGCTATTTTAGAAGGGGAACCTGTGGGTCACACATGCAATCCTTCCTGCGTGGCATTAAGGACAGAGGATCCAGCCCTCACTATTATGCAACTCTCTGACAGCAGCTGGGGTTTTTGATAGTTTAAGTAAGATTATAACCACAGGAAAAGGAGCACAATAAGAACTGAGACTTACAGTCTGTTCTGGGAACACTGAGATTTATGTAGTGGACAGGAAGGTACTTTCAGGAAAAAAAAAAGTTTTTTCAAAGAGGTTTTAAAATAGAGGAAGCAAGCTGAAGCACTGGAAAAGAATATTCTGAATACATTGAATTTGTTCACTTAACCCTTTATACCAGTATCTCGTTTGAATCAAACTGCAATGTTACTTTGAGGTGGCTGTCAAAAATCCAGACCAGGTCCACTGCAAGTGCACAGGGAGAGATGATGGTGATGGTCCCCACCACAAACACCCACCACTGGATTCACAACAATACAAGGGAAAAAAAAAAAATCAAACCACAGAAAAAAACAGTGAAGGAGAGAAGTCAGCAAGGGCAAGTTGGAACACGCCAGAGGCACCCATTGGAGGTGACCCACCTACTGCTCTGTAGAAGATGAATCTGAGCTCCAGACAAACAGACCTCAGGAGCTGAACCTCTCATCCCAGCAGCAGAGGTTGGGTGCTGCCCCCAGGCAGGGTGCAAAGAGACACCCAGGGAGCACCAAGGATGGAAAGGTGAAGATTTGGGGAGGGGAAAAGGAGGGGGGAAAGTGAAGGAGCAAATGCTGCAAGTGGTCTCTGGAAAGCCAGGCTCAGCAGCTTGACTGACACAGTGGGCAAGGGCCAGTGCCAGGCAACAAGTAGCCTGATACCATGACAGAGAAGAAAACTGTTTTAGGCTTTGTCTTCTGCACACATGGATTCCCTCTGCTAAATGCCAGATGCTAAATGTTTTTTTTTTTTTTCCTAAGTGTGCAGGAATGTCAATTATTCCAGACTGTACTATATTAAAATCACAAGGTTACAAATCAAGGTGTTCTTTCTCAGCAAGTGCTCCCTCTTTCCTATAATGTACCAAAGGATCTGCCTCAAACATTCGTCGAGTTCAGAAGCACTTAAATCTGAATTAGAAGTCAAATTAGCCTACAAGAGGAAGTGCAGTTTTCTTACTAAATGGCCAATAACTAGGTAGATAAACCCCTGATTTTTAATCACTGACATCTATGTGTCTAACAACTGCTGGAGACAAACTGCTTGAGGTCAATCCTCTATCCAAGTTCAGTCTCTTTCCAACATACACGTGCACTTCATTTAAAAATATCACTCCTCTGTTTAAAGCTGGATGCAGGGGCAGAAGATGCTGTTCCTAACATGCAAGGAACAGATCCAGCTGAGTCCACAAGTCCTCTGTGCACAGACAACCACCATGGGCACCAGCCCTGGAGGTCTGAGCCCCTCTCAGCACACCTTACAGCTCAGTTTGTCTGTCCTGGGCAAACCAAACTAAACTGAGTTCCAATCTTTAATTCAGGCTTTTTCTTCAGGGTAGCATTTTTATATGTAGCAAACTGTGAGTAAAGAGATTAGCAAGGTGAGTTTTCCTTTAATTACAGTAACACACAATAAAACCATTTGGGCCTGTGAAGCAGGGTAAAGCTGTTACCACAGTTACCATCAGTAAACAAAAGAAAAGCAGAGTAAGGCCAGAATTTGTCTAAACTGTGTATTACAAATAAATGGACAGAGGAAAGCTGAGGGTTTTCTGCCTCTGAAGCTCTGCCTGGCCATTGGATTCAGTAGTTACATGACTCTTTTCCTCCCACACACGGGAAGGTGGCACAGCCTCTGCCAGCAGTGGAGCCTGTGGCACCCGGCGGGCACAGGCCCTGGGGGGGAGGTCGGGCTGCAGGCAGCCAGTGCCAGTGTGGACTCAGCTTGTACTGCCTGTTCCTACCACCTCAGCTTTCCTCACAGCCTCACAACGGAACACTACAGCCTGTCCCTTGGAGAAGGGCAAACCAGCACTAACTTTTGATGAGCTTGGTATTTTATACGACGTAATTACCAAGTGTAGGTTACGATTTCACTTAATTTCTTTTCAGTTATGAGCACTTGACAAATTATGTCAAAGGGTATTCTAACTATATTCATCTCCTCATGCAAGAGGGAACTGCAGGTTAAATTTCAACAGAAAAGCAGATTACTTTATGCTGTTGGAAGGTACCGGATGAAAAGCTGTTGGAATGGAGCTGCTGCACGCCCTCCCCTCGGTCTCTCTGTGCTCCATTAGATGCATTTCACGCTTCAGTATTAAAATGATGCTTGTTTTGGTAACACATTCTGACCACACAGAACGAGAAGACTGATCCCAGGACAGCTGAGCTATTTGCAAGTCTGTTCCAAGAAGAGCCAACTCTTCCACTTGATCAATAGTCTTGAATAACAATATTCCTCCAAAATAAAATTATTGCCTAACCACCAAACCAATTAGCAGTAAACACATAAGCATCCAGACTGCTTTGGAGGAGGATCTCTCTCTGGCCCTCCAAAAGTGTTGGTATTTGGAATGAAGCTAGAGAAGCTTTTACTGGAAAACCAAGTCCCTGCAGCTCTCAGGCCTGCAAGCTGCCATTCCACTTCTGAAACAGCCAAAAGTTTAAACATTATGAGCACTGACAGGTCAGCTTGAAAAAGCCTTCAGTATTCAACCCTGTCACAGCTCATTTCTTCAGAAACTGACCCCTTCCATAATTTATACCACTGTTTTTTTTCCACCTTACTGAGGCTGAATGCCAACCAGGCATCCTTCAACAAGCACCAGTACTACACGTGGATTACACGTTCTTTAAATATTTTCTAGGCTCAACATTAGCACACCAAGCTGGCCACAGAGCACTCAGCCCACACCACCTGAACAGGGGAAGCAGAAGCATGGAGCTCACACCACCTCCACTGACATCACCCAGCCAGTCTTCCTGCAGCACGAGCTACCCCTGGTCCTGCTGCTCCAGCACCAGCTTCTGCCTCACCCCATCACAAGTGCTCACAGAACCACCACGTCGCTGCTCCAACATGGGTTCAAACCAACTTTCTGGAAGGGTCAGTTTTAGCTGGTATCTACCTCACTGGAAGGTTCTGCTCATCCTTGTGCCAGCAAAGGGGAAGGACACGGAGCTGAGCACGCAGCTCTGCTGCTCTCGGTCGCTGTGCCAGCTGGTACTGGCTTAGCACAGTACAGAGCCACAGAGGATGTTTTCAACGTGACATTACTCTCACTAGCAGACTGATCAGTGATCCCTCCTGGCGAGAAGAGGTCCTGCTTTAGGAAGCTCTTCTTACTAAAGGAGAACAAAACTAACAAAGCGAGTCCAACAGACCTTCAACACTTTCCCCAACAGCAGAAATACTTGGTTCTTTATCAGGAAGGATGGAAGCACACACAAAATGCTACTTCAACACTGAAATGCTTCTTGCAGCCAGCTGTCAATAATGAATTCCAAGACTTAAGATGATATACACCATTTATTATCTAACACTGCTGATACTCAGATGGGATTCTGACCCAGTAGTAAATCTTTGCCTCTAAACTTCATCTTGCATACAAGTGCTTTGCAGAACCTACAGTAGTACTGTTGTCAATTTGTTTCTTATCATGGTACTTACAACATACCTTTAAGGCTTCTATGACAAGATCTCTTGCTTCTAACTCTCCCTCAAGAATGCTGAACAGCGTCAGTAGTTCTGGTTTGCTGAGTTTTTCCAGATTCATCCTGAAAACCTGGAAAAAAAAATGGAGCATGGTTTACTAGGTATTTCTTTGTACATTATGATGAGTTTGCTAAACTCTGACATATAATCTCCATTTAATTTCAGCTTCCAGTGTTTTGGACTGCAAATAGCCCTGGGGAGACAGGAGATGATACACAAGGGGAACATTTTCTCTTCCACCTCCAAGACCATTTGTAGAAGATGCATTTTTCAGCTTTTCCCAAGGGGCCAGGGGCAGATGCACACCCAGATGGTGCCGGCAGAACGCACAGGCTAACGGGACAGTATCACACTCACCAAGAAGTAGCCAAAGTTTACAGAAGGAAAAAGCGGATATCGAAAAGTCATCCTACTGTAAATTACACATCTGGATCACACAGCTGCAAACCTCACTGCAAGGAGGCTGACGAGCTGGGAGGAACACAGCCCAAACCCAACGGCGAGCACCCCGTGCTCAGACGCGTTTCCCAGGAACGCCGTCGTGTGCTGCTGATGGAACAGGCCCAAACCACTTCACAAAAATCAATGCCACAGAAAACACACGTTCAATTACTATTCTTTCAAACTGCTTCAGTATCACCATCATTTATTAAATATAACTTCACTGCCCACACAAGAACAAAGATCCATCACCAGAACTGCACGCACAAAAAGCTTTTTTCCCCGGCATCTTTGCTGATACACAAAACGTTGCCTAGTAATAACCCTTTGTTATGTCATTCTGTTACAAGGGAAATAACTCCACAGACTGAATCCTTGTCTCTGATGCAAATATGCCCATGGCTACATTCATGTGCTTTGAGCAACACTCAGATGGACTTTTCTGGGTCCAAGTCACATCCATCTCTCACCACTCTTTGTATCAAAAACACTACAGCACAAAGAAGCTGCACAGACACCAGACTCCACTGTACTGTCAAGTGATAAAGGGTTAACTTACCCTTTACTAGAGAAGTCTATCCAGCTACAACATTCAGCTGAACTCTAATTTTTCTCAAGTCACTGCTACTTTATAACTGATTTACATAACTGTGCCTTGGAGAATTATGCACAAATGCAAGTTCTGTCTTGTTTGTGCCAAAGCAGTTTTCCAGTTGCTGGGAACAGAGAGTTCTGCTTACAGAGAGGAGCCAGCAGCCTCCAAAAAGCAAGAGAAATCAGAAATCTGCTTTGTGCCCCCTCCACCAAGGGGAAGTTTCTCCTCATGCAGTCACAGTCTTGCTTCATGTAGCGTTTTACATGAAGTTCCACAAAGCAGCAACATTCCTTACAGGCTGTTCTGGCTCACCCTGCCACTGGAGTGGGCAGCGACCACGACCATCTGGGGCATCGTGGCTGTTCCAAAACCAATTTAACTGGACACCATGGATCTGCCAGCAATGCTTTTGTGTTCCCTGTTACAGACGCATTAACATACACTGAAGAGGAAAATCCACGAGTGGAGTATTTGGCAAACCTGTTCCTGTATACCAGAATTTCAAAAACACCCAATCAAGACTTGACACAAAAACGTGATTTAGGGAACTCACCAACTCAGACCCCATTCCAGTGGGCCAGGACAGCATCAGTCACTGCTCAGCAAGAGCCACACCTTCTCATCAGCTGCCAGACCCCCACAGAGAGTTGTCAGGACATGAACCTGACCCTCTCCCTCAGCTGTGAGTGCATCTGCTGACAGTCCTGTCACCTGAGGAGCCTGGCTAGCTGAGGTCTCATGGAAGGAGCGTGATTTACAACTCGTTCATCTAGGATAAAAAGGGACAGAGTGCAATAGAAGCAGCAAATTCATGCTAAACAATAAATAAGTAGCCATATAGGGCAAGAAAGGAGGGGGCCTGGGTTTGGCCCTTAAATTTACCATGCTTCCATTGCTATTTAAGTCCTAGTTGCATCACTTCCCTGAGTAGATTTTAAATTGGGAACATGTGAACCTCTGCTCAGGAGAGGCACAGCTGAACTTCAAAACCCTCTCAGCCCTTGCTCAAGCTAAATCCACAGGTGCTAACACTGAATCAGCACTGATGGGAAACAGCAACAACGTTTTTGCCATGAAGTTATATTAGTTTCCTGGCATTAAAAGGCAGAACTAAAAAGGAGAAGTTTTCTCTGAGATCCTAAAACAAACCATATCATCAAATTCTGTTTACCACAGGATGGTAAATTTTGAACACGGGGCTTCCAGTGTGACTGTGTCTGGGCTTTTCTCTTAAAAAGAGAGGACATGGAAACGTGGAGCTGCACCTCTCCATTAGCTGCTGAACAAGCTCAACACGAGGACAGCTACCAGCTGCAGCTGGATGTTTGGAAGCTATCAGTCTGGGCAGTAATCGTTTCTGTTCTATACTCTAAATGCTCCCATTGTGACTGGCACTTCAGTGTTACAGAAACAAGTCATGCTATTCTGAATGTGCCTCTGGCTACGGTCTTTAATCAGCTTAACAACATAAACAAGCCCTGTCCTAAAATACAGGAGTAAAAATACTTAGAGAAATAAAGAGCAGGAGCCAGTTTACGTGGCATTTGTTTGTACAGCAGCACCAGGTAACATTAAAGATGTATGAGTGGTACGGGCTCGGCTTCCTCCTGTGCAGCTACAGAAAACCTTTAACTGCTCTGTGTGCACAGATCACCCCATGCTGCTGGCACAACAAACTGGGAGCAGATGCTGCAATACAGCCACTGCCCTAAAAAACCCCACCAAGTGGCACTTGTACCCTGCACGGCTGCACAGGGCAGGCCTCGATGCCTGGCACAGCCCTGCAGACCCCTGTCACACCCCTGCAGACCCCTGTCACACAGGGGTGCAACGAACCCAAATGCTTCCTCCTTTCAGGGCCACTCAATACTGGGGAGCCAAAAAATATAAAAAAGATCCATTCAATTCAGGTTATTTTACCAGAACGAGAAGAGTCTCCAGATCAAAAAGCCAGCAAAAACATACGAGCTCCTCCTCTCCTATCCAAAGCCAGATCCCTTCCCAGCCCTCCAGCATCACAGGCTCCTGAGCTGACCTTTCCAAGGCTGCCTCCCGGTTACACATCCCAGGGCCTTCCTTCATCCCACTTTTAATTAAAGATCACACCCACCCTACTCAGTTACCCAGCTCTCTCCCTTGCAAACAGGCCCATTCTGCCAAACGGATCTGCAGTCACCTGCTGGGGAACCTGACCCATCCTTTCAAACCTTCAACCAAGGGATAGAGTTCCAGAGTGTTAGAAACAAGATCCAGAAGCACCCGGGACACGCCACCCTTCACACCCAGTGAGATCCACCAGCCAGCCCCATCTCACAGATCACCCACCACACGGACCTCGTTATTTAGTCTGACAGTATAAATATTTTCCCTGAGTCTGAGATATACCACCATTTTTGGACACTATGCAAGAGTTTAGAGCATAAACAAAGATAATTCCTTACTGCTTGCCTAAAGGTAAACTTCCTTCTAGCTATGCTACAGACCATCAAAGAGCCTCCTCATCAGACCCGTACCTACGGGGACAAAACGCATTTTTCAGAAAGTTATTTCCCAACATTCACCTGAAAATAAACATCCAGACCAGTTTAAGCACACATCCAACCACACAAGCTTAACACACCAGGCTAAGTTATCTTTGGCATGTGCCACTTGAGGAACCACAGATCAGCCCCTGGATGGTGGCAGCTCCTCTGTGCACCATTCCACCCGACGGCGGCCACGAAGCACCCGCGGTCACCTCTGCTCAGGCTCACAA